ACAACAACATTGCTAGCCACACTCTTCTCAACGCACTGCGTAAAACCAGCACACAGAACAGCATCGGACCGAGACAGCACGGAGGGAAGCTGCAGAAGTTCCCACAGGTCCAGCTCCATCCTAACACTCTCGGACTGGGACTATGTGGACACGGGAAGAAAGGGAGAGGGCTACAGTGAGAGCCTAAGGCCAAAAATACTTGCTTTTGCTAGTATTTGTAATTCATGAGTGCTAAATTAATTCAAATCATTGGCAAGGAAATAATGCGGGAGGGGGAAGGGGGACACAAAATGTGTTTACCAAACTCTCTTCTTTGTTTGCTTAAAATATGCCATATTGTAAAAAAACAAGGTATGCGGAGATCAACAATTCACTATAGTTGCCTTAAAATGATAAAAGCTGGCACAGAATAGCAGCTCCTGAAATGCCTTTTGTTCTCATGGTTTTTTGGCTTGCCCGAAGTGAGTTAGGAAGTATCAACCTGTCCCCCACCCGACACCTCCCTCCCCCACAAAGCTGTCTTTTCAAGGGGAGGTTGGGGGGGGCACGGACCCAAAAGCCAAAACCAGGAAGGAGATGGGACAGGGTAGCTAATTTCCCATCTGATCAGAGGTTGTGCTCTTCCCTGCCAGCTCCCTACCAGTGACATTCACCTCCGCAGTGAGGCTTACCAAGTTTAAAGGGGGGCAGCTGGAAAATGGATCACAAGCGAGAAGGCTTGACTGGCCCCATTGTACTGATGTTTTTACCAAAGTTGCTGTTGACAGGGATGCTCTTGGGAGCACAGGAGACAACGCAAAACCGATGTGAAAGGCAATATTGTTGTGGGCCCAAGAGACAGGAGTACCATGAAGAGGGACTACCCAGGTCAGGGGAAGATGAGGAGTGGAGAAAGGGTAGTTAGGCGAGCTCCCCGCCCCCCCCCAAAAAAAAAAAAAAAAAATAGAATCATTGCTCTAAAAGTAAATCTGCCAGGGCCTTACTCAAGACATTTGCACTGCCATGGTCTGTGCTGTGGAAAAAGAAAACATTTTCCCAAGGCTGCGCAGCTCATTTTTCCTCAAAATCCAAACAATTTCTTAGCAAGCATCCCAGCAGGAAAAGTGAGAAAATACTTTCAACTATCTCACATTCTTTTTCCTCCCCATTTCCCATCCTGTCCTACAGTCAAAAAATAATAAAAAAAAATTTCTTCATACTTGGTAAATACAAAATACAGACAGCTCTGCAGCTCAGATCTGCCATGTCAAGCATCGCCAGGAGCAAATATTTGTGGCAGTTATAAGTCCTTACTTTAAAAGGGTTTCTATTTGTTGCACTAATAAACAATCATAACATTGCTACCAGGCACTGTCATAATTAGGAAACACAAGAGGTCAGTCATCCTTTCTGCTGTGCAAGTGCATTTCAATACGATTACAAACAACATCTGGATGTTAACAGCAAGGCAGGGATGAAAGAGAGTTATTTACATACTCAAGCATGAGAATGTCACTACAAGGCCTGAATAGTCAAGCAATCAAGTCCCTAAGAGGACGGCAGTTTGGGATGGGACTGAAACAAGTTCTTCATGCGCCTGGACAACCAAAGCAAATCAAGCAACCAAAGCAAGTGAGAAGTACTCAGCTATCCATTATGTTGGGCTTAAGAGCTATGCTTGTTTAAAGGTAAACGAGATCTTTGATATCACATGTGACTTGATCTTACCACATGCCATAGGAGAGGTGGGTGTGCCAACTGCACAGTAAGCTGCCTCACCTCATGCAGAGGGAGTGACTTAGCTGCAAAGAGAAAAAATCTCTGCTGCTTCAGTATGCTACTTTAAAGTCTTCCACTACACCTCTAAATAAGCTCAAGCCTGCATAACTCGTAAAGTGCGACATACAGACAGCACAAGACTGCAGACTCTAGGCAGCTGCTTCTGCAGCCAGCAAATGTCCAGTTCTCGTAGCTTCAAGAGATTTGCTCATTTAAGCATCCCCAGAGACAAGGCAGTCCTGATGTGGCTCTGGCACGGTCAGACAACCCTAAGGAGGGTGGTGGCAGGTCTCCCTCCCATACATGCTGCTTTTCCCTTTCACCATGCCAGCTTCTTGGACATCCAAGGCTTAGTTCCACTGCTCTGATCTTGCCTATCCCATGGAGTTAGCATAAAGGGCTGCAATCAACTAGAGAAAAACTGTAAGAAATCAGTGAGTTTCTTTTTCTAATTGGCAGCATATATATTATACCAATAACTTCACCAGCAGATGATCTTTTCCATCTGATAGTTGTTGCCTGCAGGATTAAATCCCGACAGACTTTGCCTGGCAGAATGAAAAAGAAAAATCATGCCCCAATAAAGTCATTGCAGTAACACGCAGTGCTTAGATGCATAAGGAGAAAGGTTTGTTGTCTTCTTCCAATTTGCCTCCTACTGATGTGAGATTACATCTTTCTATGGGGAACCAAAGCAAAGCAGATTTAAAGTCATTTGGTTCACCCAGGCTGACTTCAGAGACAGGGCCTGTCACTCAGCTAAAGAGCACGCTGCAGGGTCACAGGATTAAAGCCCGGAGTTTTCACAGAGCCAATGCTTCAATCCCATTGTTAGACAGATAATTAAGACTGAATGCATCTAACTCCAGACTGGCAAGGCACCAATGAAGGGAGGCAATCCCCAGGCCACGTGGGGATACTCTGTGGTGTATAGGGCTAGGTTTTTCTGGGGATTCTCCCATTAGAAGTTAGAGCCAGAATTCTTCCCAGATATATATCAGCATGGATCCAATTCTAAAAAAAATGCGTCCACTGCATTTTCAGATTTGACCAGCTGCTTCTGACTTGGCTTCCTGCCTTCTCCCTGCCAGGAATACCCTGACCCTTCTCAACACTAACGGGTTATCTAGTTGCTGAACTGTCCCAAGATCCAGAGCCTACCCACTCAGTCAATCCTCCCTGCCTCCATAAAGCTCTCTGTGCTGTGCCAGATGTCACAGAATACAACTGGGACTAAATACCCTCTCAGCCAGCACCCCCACCCCGAGTACCACATGCATTTGGTTACAGCTGGAAGGCAGCATGGGACCTATGGCTCCTCAGATCTGGCACTCTAATACTACCCCTATGGATCGTAATACAATCTCATCGAGGCCAAAAGCAGCTTTGCCACCGCATTGCCACTGACTCGGTAGGAGCAGGGATGGATTCTAAAACCATCCAGGGGCCCAAGTAACTTTTACTGCAGCTTTTTAACAAAGGGTTCCTCTTTCGGCATAAAGACTCAGTTTGCAACTGAAACCAAAGAGAATTTTCCCACTGGAGCCGAAGTGCACGACTTTTACTTCAACCATAATCAGATCCAGTCTCCAGTGGACCAATGTACTGAGTAGATAGCACCTGAGCCAAGACACAAGACCTGCAGCCTGCTAGGAGAAAATATATGATTTCACGTCCACAATGCTGAAGAACAACTTGCTTACGCAACCAACTTTCTACTGCTTGATCTATCAGTAACTCTGAGCAAGTCACTCTCTTCTCCGCCTTGATTTCCCCAAATACAACATGAATGACAACAGCGATCACAGCAGTAAAGTGCTTTCTGAGCTACAGATGAAAAGTAGCATAGGAACGCAGTGTGGTGATTGCTAGGGGTACACAATGCCGTTTTAGAGAAGGCAATCGCACTGTGGAAGATAGATACCATGTCGTAGAGAGAACCCATACTGCAATCACCAACATTTATTGTTACAGGGAATTCAATAGGGGAAGTGAGCATAACAACAGTACCAGTCACTTCTTGAAAGCCTGGCGAGAATGAATTTGCAGACTGACACTAGCCCCCCACAGAGCTCTTTCTAGACATGCAGGTTACTTCAGGAACAAGTTCTTAGTGAAAAAAAACAAAAACCAACCACATGGTGTGTTAGTGCATCTTTCAGAAAGGCAGAATGCCTTTGGTCTTCAGATCCTTTTGCTCTAAAAACAGAATCACTACTTAATGCCGCTTTTCTTCTTCTTCTTCTTGAATACGGGAATATACTGGCTCCTGAGTGATGGTGGTTTTTTGCCTCGTGCAGGCTGTGCAGAAGGTCTGATGGACTGAACAGTTCTCCCAACCGGGAAACAGCACAATGCAGCCTTCATACCTGGCTTATGGGTAAGAATCACGAAGAACAGGCTTCAGTCTTTCCTAATACCATGTCACATACGTAACCCAGGTTGTATTAGATAACACAACCATCACACTGAGCATATGTGGGAGACTAACAATTTATTCCTTGAGTTTAACCCTTGGCTGTCAAGCTGGGGCAGTGCACCAGGAGAAACAGAAATTTGTGCCTTCTGAAAAACACCTGTGGGTGTACCACTTTACCACTCACTTTGCTAGTGCTTGCTGTAACATGCCTATGAATGTAAGCTTAACCATACCCTCTGGCCATACCTAAATTGGGCTAACATAGTATTAAAGAAAAGTATTTGCCAACCTATTTTAATAGATGCAACTCAAACACAGGTTTAGACAATTCCAAAGAAGTTGAGCAGAAACAAGTTTTATAAAACCTTACAGTGAGTCTGTAAAAAAGCAACCACTACATACAAGCAGTCTCATCTTAACTTTAGGTAGGTCTGCACAGCCCTGGCGCTGCTAAATCCCACAGGTGACATCTCGGCATTTAGCCCGAGCCTTGACACCAGTCTCCAGGAGTGCTGGGGACACTGACCAACATCCCCTCAAATCCAATGCTCACAGCCCACGCACCACAACCTGAAGGTGACCTAATTTCCCAGGCTTGCATGTGCAACTAACCCAGGATAAAGCACAGTGCTCCCCTAAATGCTCCGCTTGGGAAACATGCAAGTTTTGGGGAGCAAAAAATAAGGATCCAGCCCCACACATCTTGTTTGGCACCAGGGCAGGTGGGGGAAGGCACCCGGGGAGACGGGGGAAACAACGTCCCTGCTGCTGCGAGGAGGCACTGAAGGGTGAATAAACGTTTTTAAATGCGACTGTCACTTACTTATCCAGGACGAAGTAGAGATCAAAGGCACCGTGACAGGAGCGCTGCTCTTCTTGCTCTTCCTCCTCCTCCAGCCGGGCGCAGGAGGTTAGGCTCCCCATTGCCAGCAAGAAGCAGCACAAAACCGCTGCTTTCTCCACGCTGCTCCTGCAACTCGCCATCTTTTCCCTTCCTTAATTCTTCCTCCTCCCCCAGTCTCTCTCTCTCACTGCAGACCTTACGGGCTCTGTGGAAGCACCAGAGGAAGGGGGGGCTGGGGGGGGGTGGGGGAGAAGAGGAAAAAAAAAATTCTTCCACGCTGCTCCTGCAACTCGCCATCTTTTCCCTTCCTTAATTCTTCCTCCTCCCCCAGTCTCTCTCTCTCACTGCAGACCTTACGGGCTCTTTGGAAGCACCAGAGGAAGGGGGGGCTGGGGGGGGGTGGGGGAGAAGAGGAAAAAAAAAATACTACGAACTTCAGGATCTCGGCTCAACCCTGCGTGCTCAAGGCAGCCCTGCCCGCCGGGGACAGGACTGGCAGCTCAA